TTCGTTTTGCCACCAGAAGTGGCAGACCCAATCCTGAAGGGAGCTGTAGTGCATTTTCGACATCCCTATAAACCTTTATATCGCAGCATGCATCAAACACGTTACTCCAAGACCTGGCCACTTGGATAATGCATCGTCCACGTGAGATTGCCAACTATGGTCATGCAAAAAGGGAGTGTCGGATGGAAGCCAACAAATTGCACCTTGCTAACGAGGTAATGTATGGTACTCTGTCAAAGACAAGCAAAATTGAAGCAGAATACGTTAGAATCTTCTTCTTCTTATTCTTTAGCGTCTGTCCCGCTTGTAGGCGGGGTCCGCTCTTCTTATATTTTGGCGTCACTTTTCCCGATTAAAGGCTTGATCGGGGTTGATATTAATAGACTTCAACTCTTCGTGCGACGTATCGAGCCATCGCTGCTTCGGGCGCCCCCTAGGTCGCTTTCCGGACACGTCAAGGTTGAGAACGATCTTACGGACACTGTCGTCTTTCGCGCGAAGGACATGACCATACCAGCGAAGGCGGGCTTCGCGCATCTTGTCGACAATTGGAGCCACCCCAAATCGCTCTCTGATGACATCGTTTCGGATGTGGTCTACTCGTGTGACTCCGGCTGTCCAGCGCAGCATCTTGGTCTCCATCACACTAAGCCGTGCTTCGATCTCTTTAGGCGTAGGCCAGCTTTCAGCACCGTAAATCGCGACTGGCCGGATGACGGTCTTATAGATCTTGGATTTGAGACGTTCTGGCATGTTTTTATCGAGAATTCGTTTCCACGACTAGGCTGCCGTCAGACGCAATTGCTGATCCAAGATACTTGTATGATCTTGCATGAGTGAGTTCAGTACCATTGCCCTTAATAGAGCTCAACTCACTCGAATCGGTATTCAAGTACTCAGTCGGACCAGGCTTGCACCTGTTGCTCGGGCGTGCTTTTATCTTCGCTAGCAAGCATCACGTCATCAGCATAAAGAAGCGTCCATGGAGCCGGCTTCTGGAGATCTCTCCTAATGGCATCCATGACGACAACAAATAGGAGTGGGGAAATGGAAGGGGATGAAATCAGGGATTAGTGAGAAAGATCTAGTCCATTTGGAAAAATTACAAATGTCTTCGTGATGCAATGATGCAACCATTTTTTAGGCTCCATCGTTGCATCACAACGGAACCAAACAGGTTCCATAGTTGGGCAACATGAAATAGGACCCTCATGAATGTACTCGGTAAACGTGGCATAAACAAGTTGAAATTATGCGCGAACATTTATGTGCGAACAACTCGGCTTTGTCCAAGTCATCAGCTTTGACGACGAATCACCCTACTGTAATCCTGCGCAGGCGGATAAAAAGATCGATCGCGCGCGAAAACGGCCATATAGGCGAAGAGCGTGAACGCGAGAAGATATTTTCTTTGATTGATTCAAGTATTCGCTTTTATTGTTTACTCGTACTAACAATCGCACTTTTATTTTGAAGACAAGATTCCCTTATACTAGTGTCAATTTGAGTATAACTCGCAAACTCTATCGCGTAAACCTAACCGCGTGGCAGGCATATTCAATTCGCGTGTACAAGAACTTATCCTCAAACTTCAACGTGGGAATCATCATTTGCTAGTAGGCAACCTCTGCTTATCATTTATCATCTATTTTGCTATACAGGCTAAAACCATCATTTGATTTAACAAGCTTGTGCTCAAGAATTGTTCAAAAATTTGCCATCATCTTACTGAGTTTTTTTTACCGAGCGCACGGTAAGAGGATATCAAGATTCGCTTTTTCCTTGAATGGCGACGTCCCAAAATTCATCGCGCCGTGAAATCATCCTCGCCAAGTGTACGCGAATAGCGAGCGACAAAGGATACAACCCAATCGGTCTCAGAAGACTGATCTCCTAAGCTCAATCAGCAGCCTTCAAATCTTTCTGTTAAGGAAAACCAACAGACGTCGCTACAGCTAACCGGTGGCAATACCACAGTAACCATTTTTTAGGCTCCATCGTTGCATCACAACGAAACCAAACAGGTTCCATAGTTGGGCAACATGAAATAGGACCCTCATGAATGTACTTGGTAAACGTGGCATAAACAAGTTGAAATTATGCGCGAACATTTATGTGCGAACAACTCGGCTTTGTCCAAGTCATCAGCTTTGACGACGAATCACCCTACTGTAATCCTGCGCAGGCAGATAAAAAGATCGATCGCGCGCGAAAACGGCCATATAGGCGAAGAGCGTGAACGCGAGAAGATATTTTCTTTGATTGATTCAAGTATTCGCTTTTATTGTTTACTCCTACTAACAATCGCACTTTTATTTTGAAGACAAGATTCCCTTATACTAGTGTCAATTTGAGTATAACTCGCAAACTCTATTCGATCGCGTAAACCTAACCGCGTGGCAGGCATATTCAATTCGCGTGTACAAGAACTTATCCTCAAACTTCAACGTGGGAATCATCATTTGCTAGTAGGCAACCTCTGCTTATCATTTATCATTTATTTTGCTATACAGGCTAAAACCATCATTTGATTTAACAAGCTTGTGCTCAAGAATTGTTCAAAAATTTGCCATCATCTTACTGAGTTTTTTTTACCGAGCGCACGGTAAGAGGATATCAAGATTCGCTTTTTCCTTGAATGGCGACGTCCCAAAATTCATCGCGCCGTGAAATCATCCTCGCCAAGTGTACGCGAATAGCGAGCGACAAAGGATACAACCCAATCGGTCTCAGAAGACTGATCTCCTAAGCTCAATCAGCAGCCTTCAAATCTTTCTGTTAAGGAAAACCAATCAGACGTCGCTACAGCTAACCGGTGGCAATACCACAGTATCTTTCACTAGAGAAGTGGAACTTCATAATACGAGGTCGAGACATGAGTGCCCTCTGAGAGGGCAGAGAACAAGTAGTTCGAAATTATCTAAAGGTGACATGTCGATTATTTTATGGGAAAGAGTACTGGCAGGGTAACCATACTTCCTGTTGATATTTGGCATATTAAAAACCGCCAAAAACTACAGTGGGGACCGTTGTAAGAGCTGAATTCGCTGATACTTCGAGTAAGATTACAACACGGAGCTCTATAAACAAATATAAACCTGACAGTCCCTGACAAAAAAAGACATCAATAACTTCAGTAGGCGTCCTTAGCCGACTCTTGAAAATATAATTGTATGAGATAGACTGTTTGAGCAAGATGAGATTTCCTCCATTTTCTTGGAAGGGCGATCGCACTGAAGGCTACTGAACTGCAAGTAAGCAACACCCAGGGGATAACACAATTCAACGCCAGAATTCAGACAAGACTTCAATCACCAGGTCATTTTCTCGAAGTAAGAGTCTAATAACGAAATTGCTATTTTTCACGGAAGACTTGAGGTTATACAATACGCACTTGGCCCTGATTTCCTGAGGCGATGTATGAGAGCTTTCGCACGCGAGCGTTGCTAGAACTTTGAAAAAGAATCGTTCTCTGAGGGAACAAGAACAAGCACTCCATTCACGTTAGGGAGAAGACAGGTTGCCCAGACCTTCGCTACAGGGTAACCCCTCTCCCCTCCCATGAGGGAAGTTGCGCTCTCTAAACTGCCTGTCGCTGAAATCTACTAATTAGCAGGTGCCTTTCATCAGTCTAGGTCGATTTGGCTTTAAAATTTTCATTAATAACGGACGGAATACACTCTAGACCTGAGGAAAATGCAGAATACTGGTAAGCAGGGTTAGCTCTTTCTACCGAATTTAGAGATCGATATCCGGTGCCCCTGTAGGAGCAATTGTGCAATAGAAGAAGGAAATTTTCTTACTACTGCCCCAGCTAATGCTGCATTCTTTGGTGCCAGGAAAAATTTGGGACGATTAAAGGACCGATGTCTTTTTCGTTCATTCATTGAAGTTGGTCTCCCGTCATGGATTACCATTAATTGCGTGCTTTAGCTCACCTTTTCGGAAGGAAACCTCAGCTCGGCTAAGATGACTTGAAAACCATCATCCAGCTGTCTTGAACCAGAAGGAAATTTTCATAGAAAAGACAAAGGACAGTTGCAAACAGTGGTTGATATATTGACTGACCCCCGCAAGTCATTGTATAGGCCACATCGCATTCGAATGTATTAAATTGGAAGAGAATGGCGTGCCAGCATCAAAAAGGGATTGATCAACGGCAAGCGCTTCATCCTTTATCCTTTATATCTCTTATTTCGAGATGTATCAGAGAAACAGAAAAATGTGTAGAAAAAGGGCCGGACTCAGGAACTACGTGCCAACCAGCCACAATCACAGAATTGCTGATAACTATTTACCCCTCCTAGGGGTGCGTGACGATTCAATCGTGGCGATGGCTAGGTCGCCGCGCCAGCCGCCGCAGCCCGCGATGCGACGTCGGCCGCGGCTAGAATTTTCTAGCACTAGGGAATGTAGGATCAGATGAAGTTTCTAGTCGTGAAACACGGTGTGTGGTCACCTGCCCCCTTAAAATACAGGATCCTTGCTCTTTGCCATTATTTACAAACTTATTCTGTCATACAAACGTTATTGCTTTCCTCACGGTTCCACAGCGTCTTGAAGAGTAATATTTTTCCGATTTAGCTAGATTATCGCTTTCTGGTAACAATTCAGGCATCTGATTAATGCAGAAGTCTCATTATGTTAGAAAGGAGAACTTTTACATGGCACAAGCTCTGTACAGTGAGGCTTAAATAATGCAGAGATCTTTCATGTTGGCTCAATGATGTCTGGAACGTTGGTCTTATCAGTCCCCCAACCCCACCAGCAACTTATGACAAGGACCGTTAAGCCAAGTCCCACATAAAAGCCGCCGCACCATTTGCCGCGTGCGACGCTGCCTGCCGCCTGAACGGCGTGAACTTATTAGCCGACGATTGAATTGACCGTCTCCCCCCCTCCTAGATATGAGCGACCTGAGTGCCCAAAAGATACGGATGGAGTTTTGTGGGAGCTGGCGATATAAACAGAATGTTTTTTGAATCGAATCCGAAAAAAACGTACTCAACACCAGATGTGAGGTTCATGCATTCCCAGTCATGAGTTACGACACCATCACGATCATTCGGATTCTTCGATTGTGAAGCGTCGATGGCAACAGGCGAGTCGCTCGCAACCGAACGCCATACCGCATCAACGATCACCACTAGATCCTCCGCAACGTACTGTAATAGAGGCACTTTGAACATGGACGACCCATACGCATATAATGCCACTTTCATTTGATGTGCTATGCAAAAACCTTTGATCGTTAATTCTTCCTTATGAATGAGGAACCTGAAGAATTCCATATTAGCCGTACATGTTTATTACTACAGTCAGAGACCTTCGCTCAGTTTTCAGAACGCAATACATGTAAAACCGAAATCTCCTATAGCCTGATCGACCGTCACATCCCACGCAATACTACTTGCGGAACCGGTCAAAGGATCATAACCCATAACCGTGACCCATCCCATAAAAGATCAAAGAGTGAAGCATTTGCCATTGATCAATTCGTTTCTGCCCCCGCAAGGCTTCATATCCATAGCTGAAGCGATTTCAAGGACCGCGACGCGATACAGGATGCTTCTTATAGAACTAAACTTTGGTTCACTGAACTAATAGGACCTCTCCACTTGATCTTCGCGCCGTGCTCGTCGTCAAGTCGCCCGCCGGCGTGCACGATTAGTTGTAGCCCAGGTCACCCCACCTTTTAGGAGTTAGGTCAAAATCTAGAGTTTGGCCTATGCGAGTAAATCAGGGCCCTGATCACGAATATGGCGTTTGCTTTAGGCATCGGTATCATCTGGCATTGCGAAGTTACTCCGCCACTTACCAAGAGAAAACCCATTTTCAGGTGCTGCTGATGGTCCTGGTTATGAACATAGCGTTAGTTTGGAGCCAATTTAGATGACAATCAAGAACGCAGAACCTCACTGTGAAGCGGGAACGAACCATGGAGTCCCTCCCATTGTGTTCCAATCCGGGTCCACTACCATCCAGTCGACCACCAAAACGCAAGTCGTGAAATGACGATGATGCTTATGGAACCTCCACACTTCCTCCAGCACTACCATTAGCAGCGCTTCAATTTTCAGTAAGATCACGTCGTTTGTGATCCCTCTTCATCATTACCCTTCAATATGCAGGTGATCTTCTCTGCAAGTTTGGAACGTCACTTCGAGGCTGCAAAAACACCCATTCTTAGCAATTTTTTAAGCTTTTCTGTGCTTCAGAGAGCCGCTCAGAGAAAATGAAACACAGAAATGTAATCTACGCAGAGCCCATACAGCAAGCAAAAAACCGCTTCGGATAAAGCGGATCACACCCTGAATGAGCTCTTGTAAGCGCATATGTAATGCTGCATGCTCGACGTCATCTGCATCATACCGATACAACCGAATCTTTGATGAACACCACGAAATTAGAACTGCTTACCGTGAGCGTTTCACGTGCTGTTGCTCGAAGATGTTGCTTGCTAGCCACGTCTCTGTAGTATACTTCCACTCCTATTTGAACAGAATCACCAGCCTTATATTTGAAGGATGGTATGCGATAGCTATCGTCAGACGTGACATAGGCACCGCGCACGGACCAATTGTACTGAAGAGGTCCTTTCTTTCTTCTTGTTTCACAACAACGTACTCAAAGTATCACTATATCGTTTATTCGCTTACAAAGGTTGACATGCGAAGGAATATTTTCAATAACCCAGCGACGAGGAAGCATGGCCAGAATTAGCGAAAGGGTCAAAACTTGTTGAGAAGCTATTGCTACCCATCAGTTTAAAAAATTGGCCGAGTTTACGGCTAGCAGAAAGATAGTGAAAGAGGTGGTCCTGGAAGATAAGATAATATGAAGAGATACGGCTGCTTGATAATAAGATGCGCTGCTGAAGGTACCATTTTGGTCTAAAACGCCCTACTATGCGTACCGCAGGGTGCTTCCCTGCCCAAAAGTACCGCCATTTTTGAACATTTGATTTATCCCGCTTTTGCGTCTAATCGTTGAATGTGTTCTCATCAATTGCTGGAAAAATTGGGTCTCCTGTCTACGATTATCCAGTACAACTCTTTGATGACACTTTTTTACTGCAATTATCGGTCCTACTCTTCTCTCTATACGCGTATTTTGAGTGACGTTTTGAGCGAGCGTTCAGAATAAATATTGACAATTGTATCGAAGGTGGAGTAGAGTAACGCTGGGCGAGCCTCAGGCTTTTAGCCAACGAAGAGCTGCCCTCCTCAAAGAGGCCAATGTACTCCTCACTTACTCATCATCTGATTTTGTCCCGCCTCCCCTTCACACCTCCTAGAGCGACTAAGGTTCATGGATGGATACCTGTGCGTCGTCTGGAATTATGATGAAGGATTTCGTACACCGGCTGAATTCTGGTAGTGCTCGCAGACGAACTGGTGCCGAAGGCACAAGATATTGCGATGCACCAGCGAGTGTCACTGAAAGCGTCGCAGCCGCCATCACCGGTCGAAGATGAATTGCTTGCTTCGTCGTGCACATGTTCGCAATGTTGCAGCCAGTCACCATTACTGTAGCCTCAGAGCTCAACTGGAAATTTTCACTCAGAACACTTGAAATTGCTAAGATTCAGACACTGAAATTCAAAAAAGGTGGAAATATTTCTCATCACTGAAACTATCAAAGGAATCTTCCTCGGAAAAAGCTCCGCCTTCACTAACACAGACAAACGACACCTTAGGCACCTAGCCTCATGAGCCTAGCAAAAAAACGGAACATAAGCGTCAGTTTCGATAATACTAATCCTACACACAAGACAAAATGATCACTCTTTCTGTGGAAGATTCCTTTACGGTATCGTTTTCTGTGGTAATGAGAGCGGCGTTTATCCATGGAAGATTTCTTGAAGAAGTCCTACCTACAGAAGCAAGCATGACACTAAGGTTACCAGTACCGAGAGAAAGTTAAATAAATCCTGACTCTTCTGGAGGATGGCTTCCAAAGGGGAGGGTTTAATGTTACGATCTTCCTCAAGGAAAGTGCTGTGTCCGGGTAGTACGTCTCACAAAAACCAAGCTTTCCATCCCACCGTGGCCGCGTTTTTGGTAACAGGCCTCTCTGGAAGAATACAAACACCACCTCCCAAATTGGCCGGCCTCCATAAGTGATTGTAAAGGCCAGATGGCAAATTAATGCCGTCAAGATTCTAGATGGAAGTAAAAAAATGTGGCGCCTCCTTCGGTTGACGGCAAAACCTCATCCAACCCAATGCTCCTTTCCTAATAAAGGAATCTTCTACAGAAGAAGCTCCGCCTTCATTACCACAGAAAAGCGACACCTTAGGCTCCTAGCCTCATGAGCATAGCAAAAAGAACGGAACATAAGCGTTAGTTACAAATTCCAATTTCAATTCAATTCTAATACTAATCCTACACACAAGACAAAATGATCACTCTTTCCGTGAGAGATTCCTTTGGGGTGTCGTTCTCTGTGGTAATGAAGGCGAAGCTTTTTTCCGTGGGAGATTCCTTTGAGGAGAAGTGCTTGAAGAATTCATTCTTTCACGGGTGAAACTGATGGAGCTAATTGTTTCTCGTTGTCGGCCACGGGAAGATGGTAAATGCAACTTGTTGAAAATTTAGTGTAATTGCTATGAGACAGATTATATACTGCGCCTTCTGATTATACAATCACCTCTAAATTTTCCGAAGACTCACAGTTAACGATGTTTCTGAAAAAGTGCCAAAGTAAGATATGCGTTAAATTCGAACACAATTCGCACATTGACATCGAATTCCAGCCCCAAAACACATTTCCTCATTATTTTCGTAAACGAATCCTCTTCCACGTCTCCAAACGCTACAGCCACTAACAAAATTTTTTAAATAAGACAAACAACTAGGAGGAAAACATGCTAGGTCTATGATAAGCTGGGCTTCCATTTCTCCAAATTGCTTGGAAACACGACGTCTAAGCCTAAAAAGGCTACCATTGTTTCCTGATCAGCTTAGTGCTATGCGCCCACGATCGCTTTTTTTCAGCTCCCTGACGCCTTGGAACTTCTTGCGTTTGGCACAAATCTTTCCCACCATAAGCCTCATACATTTTCCATAAAGTTCAAATCGAGGCTGTTTGTCGACCAGGGCAGAAGGGCATTCCGACACCAAAAGAAGCAAGTTCGGGTGCTTTTGCTGACTTGAATGGGGCATTATCTTGCGTAACAACAAGATTTTAGTGCCGATTTTTATACTGGAAAGTAAGAAGTGCATGGCGCTAACAGCTCAATACAGGGTCGAGATAATCTTCTTCTTCGGTACAAAACAACGCCTACTAGATGAAATCGTTGCCCAAACTATGACTCCACCTCCTTTGAAGTTCCGTCTAGAAAACTCAAGCCTCTCGTGCCAATAAAATTGACTACCGTCTGGGGCGTCACAATTTAACTTTTTCTTATCGAAAAAAAAAACAGTTTGAAGAATAAGAAACACCAAGAGAAGGAGAGTCAAAAGTCAAAACATGAAGAGGATCTTATTCTTCTTGGCTCGGCTGCACCTTTTGGCGAGAGCGACCTAATTTTCTCTATGTTTTTTGTCGTCCTTCCACATTTTCCGCCTGACTTCCTGATCATCTTGAAGCTCTATTTTTTGAGACCTTGAGATTTGAAGACGACCTGATTTCCAAATAAGACTCGGCGGAGTAGGATGCTACTCTCAAAACATTGCGATTCTCTCTGTCGGGAAACAGAGGAGAACGTCCAGCTTCTCTTCTGGTTCCATACTCTTCAGGATTGCTGACGAAGTTGTTCAAGGCCGCGCGATGTCAGCCCGAATCTGCGCGATTTTGCAATCTGACAGTCATTCCTCCTTTTTTGCGAGGATTTGACCTTTTTCTGAACCTCGGAGCAACCTCCCTCTTCCTACTACTGCCTGAAAACGAAAAACATTACATCAACAAAGTAGTTTAGTGTAGTGCGACGAGAATAATACGCGACGAGAAAACATGAATTGGCTGTATCAATTGGAGACGTGGGGAAGTCAACCTTTCAAAGAAAACGATGAGTAAAAATGTTCTTGAGCTGATCATCGATGGTGATGTGCGAAGTGGGACTCAAAGTTGACGCATTTCATACTTTGGCTTTTTCAGATACATCGCAAACTGTAAATTTTTTGGAAGCTCGTACGCTGCTGTATCACTGAAGATGCACTGTAGATATTCATTTGAAATGAACCGATATTAAAACGGCTCGCCATTACACTGACTACAAACAAATGTTGAGAGAAGATCTCCATAGCTACTGCAAACATAGTCCCGCTGGCGGGGTTGTTTTCATGAACAAATAGACCGTAACCGGATGCTCTTTGACAACGCGCGGTCGCCATTAGTTCTCTTCATCATAGCTCAAAGTTATATAAACATATTGTATCTATACACTGCGTTTCATAATTATAGGTCCACCCTAAATTTTTGCTACCCCAAAGTTGCCGTGCATTTTTTGGAAATGCTGCTATCACCGTTAGATTCCTCATCACGGAAAACCTTCATAGTGTTCATCTGACAAATTCCCCCCTCAAGTAACCCAATTAACATGTGTTTAGAACGAATTTTCACCGTTTAATGAATATCGGGCCACTCATAAAAAGTTTCCATTTCTCACGATCCGTGAAGGGAATCAGGGAAGCGGGGAAATATGTGGGCTCAGTCGACATCGAGTTTACCATACCTCGTGTTATTCGTGTCTCTTCCCAGTAACGAGCTCAAGCTAGAGCACTTACTGAAGTGGGATCGCTGAGGATGCATTATTTCCGTACTGCCATGTCTTCGCGCTCATACTGCATAAGCGACTCGATATGTACAAATCCGTGGTCAGTGCGGGAAAGAGAGTCTCTTAGTAAATCAAGAACTGCGTGTTTCCTTCAAATTTAGAAGGAATTTGGCGTCTTCTCACTGTTGTAGCCAGAAGGTCGAACAAAGTCCGTGTTTGAAATGCCGAGCCTTCGTCGAGCACAACCAGGCGTGTGGTGAGCTAAGCCAGCCAGAGCATATAACATGCTTCAACGGATTGATGAATGAGGCAGTCAGCATTATCGAGCGGCTACAAGAATCGGAAGTCTCCATTTCTCCGTGAACAGGCTCGAAACTTAATGACGATGGTGTGTGCTGTTAAGTATCCTTCGCGATCTTGATCTCCCTCCTTTTTTCGTTCCGATAGTGGTCTGAGGTCGACGTGGAAAAGTTTATTCTTAGTGATCATGGCAGAAAAAAGAACGGTTACAGGATGATTCCGGCTGAAATCGCACGATGGTTTCATGTAGACGTAATTTCGTCGGTGATCCCTTGAGTTTGGATGCCCTTTGAAACGACTGAGTAGCTAGGACTCGGCTTGTTCGTTTCCGTTCATGAACGACTCCCACAGGGTATCGTGAAGTTTTTCGATAGCAGTTTCACCTAATTCTGTTTTCAAACCAAGGATCGGCCCCCTATTCTCTTGATTTTCACTTCCCGGAGCTAAACGCGGCTGTTCATGCGGGTCCCTTCCGCGTCGCGGACTGGAATGTGCACAGAAAAAGCAGTTATCCTGGTGGCCAACCATCGTTATTCTGAACTTAGATTCCCTAAATACCGAATCATTGGGCCTCAATTGTTATAAAGTTCCACAGCAAAGTTAAACAATGGATACAGACCAAAAAGCTGAAGTCGCTCATCAAGGCCGCCCAGACAAATTTCGATCCTTCTGTAATAACTTGAGTTTTGCCTACGCAGCATTTCACAACTCTTATGTTGTGTTCGCTTTATTATTGGGTGGATCAATCCCACTTTGAACCAATTGTCGTGCGAACCGTTTTTCGTTATAGTAAAATCTCTCGACAAATGATTATTAGTCATTATTTGTCGAATTGATGAAAATACGTTCTAAGGAAGATTTTTTAATAATTATCTGAATCGAACGTTTCTCAAGAAATTAAGAATGCAAAGGTTTTTACGTTTGGAACGATTGCTAATGAGCGGCATATTCCAATAAAGCACAGCAAACTTTGAATAGCAAAAAATTAGGGTGGACCCATATTATGAAACGCAGTTATATATACAGTAGCGGTCAAATTTGAACTTTTGTATTTTGACCTTAGGCGCGGCGATACACAACGAATTGTCCGCAAAGTTAGATATTGCCATACAAAATCGAGTTTAAATTACACGGGAGAACTATTTCATTAATCTATAATCATATTTGAGAAATAAGATTTTTTCAATGTATGGCGCGTCCAACCAAAGTTTTGGGAAACTTTTTGTTTCCCTTATCAATGATACCTAAATCTTCAAATGTTTACTTTGTTTTATGGTTAATTTTAGGGTCATACCACTGAACAAGTGTGTAGTTTCAAAATTGAATTCATTGCAAATAAAACATTTTCCATGGTCTTTTTTAACCCTACACCCGACTACGAAATTGAAACCTGATTCTTAGTAGTTCAGTCTCGGGCGCCGAAGCAATATTATCGGGATGTTTCTGAGCGTCATTTAGAGTAGAGTAATCATAAAGAAACATCATTCACAAAAAGTACCTTTACAAG